TGGAATCTGGAATGTGGAAATCTGGAATCTGGAATGTGGAATCTGGAATCTGGAATCTGGAATCTGGAATCTGGAATCTGGAATCTGGAATCTGGAATCTGGAATCTGGAATCTGGAATCTGGAATCTGGAATCTGGAATCTGGAATCAGGAATCTGGAATCTGGAATCTGGAATCTGGAATCTGGAATCTGGAATCTGGAATCTGGAATCAGGAATCTGGAATCTGGAATCTGGAATCTGGAATCTGGAATCTGGAATCTGGAATCTGGAATCTGGAATCTGGAATCTGGAATCTGGAATCTGGAATCTGGAATCTGGAATCTGGAATCTGGAATATGGAATCTGGAATCTGGAATCTGGAAAATTTCACGGAATACGGAATCAAATTAAATTCTCGGAATTTGGAACAATTAAAATTTTCCGGAATCCGGAACGAAAAAAAACACGGTAGCAGGAATTCGGACGTCTCTGATAACTACCGAGTAGTTCCGTAAAGTAAATTTTGATCTATTCTCATCACCATCTAGACAAAAAACTCACGTTTCCCTCTCAAAAACAGGAATAATCAACCGGAATCGTTCACTTATCACATGAGCCCTCCCCCATTTGACTCAATACACAATATGGAATGAAATCATCTTAAAATGTTGCCAATTTCTACCCAAACAAACCAACTTTTCTAGCCCCCTTATCAGGAAGCTTCCCTTAAATATATATCATTTTTTGACATTCATCACATTTTGATCATCATGAATTTGATTTATGCAATTCCTTTATTTGTTGGGCTTATTGGATCAGCAGTATCCTATAAAGTTCTAGTATTCAATCCGGCTTACGGAGCGAGTCATTCGAATTTTTTGGGCAAAATATCTGATATCCTTATTGATGCTGGAAATGAAGTGGTAAGAGTGAGAGCCGTTGGAAATTGTTGGAAAGTTTGGTTTTTTCAGACAATGCTAATTCCAGTATATCTGAGCAATAAGAGGAATCAAACAGGTTCAAAGAAAGTGACGAAGATTGTGGAAATCGGACAGGATCCACGAACGAAAGCAATATTTGAATCTGGACAAATCGAAGGCATCATAAAATCTAAAGTGTGGACTATGGATCCGGAGATGATGTCTCTCTTTGGAGTAAGCTAAAATCATAATACCTGTAACAGAAAGGTCCCCTAACTTTTATCTTTGAGCCAATTAATCTCGGTTCCTGTGAAAGATATAAAAAAGTTGTCAACTGATAAATTATTCATCATAATATCACAAACATTTTATTATTTGACACATTTTTTATCTCTCATACGAACCGAGATAATTGAGCTCGAAATGTGAAGGTTCTTATATTAAAGGGTATACGGTAATTTAAAACAAAATTTATCTTATAGATCATCAGTGAGATGAACATTGGAATTGGTTATCAATGTGAATGTGAGTTTCATTACATTCCTAATTTCCCAGATAGAAATTTCAGACATTTTCCAACAGACTGAAATTCTTGAACAACTTCGCAATGAAAATTTTGATCTAGCTATCACCGAATCTCTTTTTGCTTGTCCCTTTGGTGAGTATATATACCATAAAACCTGTAATACAAGCCCCCCCCCAATTATCACAATGCCTATGACAGATATCAAAAGTCTGTCAGCTGACAAAAAACCGTATGATATTATGACAAACAATTTATCAGTTGACAGATTTTTTGTATCTTTAACAGGTACCGAGATAAATAAGATCCAAGTTAAAAGTTAGGGAACTTCTCAGAGCGCAGCTCAAAGAAAAAATAGTTATCCTTTAAACTTCAGCTGTCTTCGATCACATTGGTATTAAAACAGTCATAAATGCGGAATCGAATTTATTCAAAGATGCCATGAAGTATGCCCATGGAGAGCCAGCTGCGATCAGTTATTTTCCGGGATTGTTCTCTCCGAATAACGACAAAATGTCTTTTTTCACAAGAGCCAAGAATTTGTTGAGAATGATGTTCACACAATATTTATTTGGATCGAGATACCAAAGAGAACTCAGAACAATCAAACCGTATTACAACGGAACAGAAAGTTGGACAGAACTTGTGAGCAATGTTGCATTCTACTTTATTAACTCAAATCAATATCTGGATTATGCAAGTCCAACTCTACCGAAGACAGTTTTTATCGGTGGGATGCAAGTGGTTACTAATAAAAAGAAGACGAAGCTGAATCAAGAATGGGATACTCTTTTGAAAATTAGAGACCAAAATGTTCTGATTTCTTTTGGATCGAATGCTCATTCATGTGATATGCCAGAAGAATTCAAGTGAGATGAAACATCAGATATTCTGTAAAGTTCATATTTCAGAAAATCGTTTCTCGAAGTCTTTGAATCAATGCCCGATACCACTTTCATTTGGAAATACGAAGATGAAAATGCCACGCTGGCTGATCATCTTCCGAATGTGAAATTGACGAAATGGATGCCTCAAAATGATCTTTTAGGTGAGACAGTTATAACAAACAATAACAATTTTAAGCCGATTCATGAAACAACAAAGTCTTCTTATCTATTAAAAATGTCATATTTTTCAGCTGATGATCGTCTAACACTATTCGTCACTCACGGAGGACTGGGTAGTACAATGGAGCTTGCTTATCAGGGGAAACCGGCGTTAATTGTGAGTGATGATCACGAGTCAGAAAATAATTAATCATCGTCGAATTTCTAGATTCCGTTACTTGCTGATCAACCTAGAAATGCTCACATGCTCACACGACACGGCGGATCACTTGAGTTCGACAAGAAGCTTCTGGGGAATTCAGAAGAACTTCGAAAAGCAATTCAGATGGTGTTGAAGAACAAGAAGTACCTTGCAAATGCTAAATGGCTAGCAGGTATTCTAAACTCTCAACCGTTTTCTCCGAAAGATGTCGTCCTGAATCATTGCAATTTTGCTGTCGAGCATGGAACTTTGAACACATTGAGTTCGGAGGGGAAACATTTAAATCTCTTCCAATATTATTCCTTCGATATTGCTATTGTTTTCTTAACTTTAGCTGTTGTTTTTCTAGTTTTAACTGTTTTTATACTCTCGCTTCTTCTAAGGTTTTTGTCAGGAATTTTTAAAATCGTTTTCTCCACAAAGAAAAAGCTAGAATAAATATTTTTTCAAATTAAATAATATAGTTATTTTTTCGCTCGTTTTCACTGTTTTTTCAAATTTTCATTTATTTATTTATTTCAACGAAGGGGAGAAAACCACTAACACGTGAAATGTCTATGAAACTAGGAGATATAACAGGGACATACATTTGTAGTAATTGGGAGATGAAGGATAAACCGAGTTAGTAATTAGTTGAATTCAAGACAAGAAAATGTTTTAGATCACAGGATAATAGTCGATTTTTGAAAGCCGCTGACGAGGGCTTCACCGGAAACACTTTGGCGGGTAAAGAGTTCCAACATCTGATTACTCTATTAGAGAGAAATTGAGAAGATATTTTTGTTGAGTTTTTGATAAGTGATTTGAGATAGTATTTGTGACGTCGCAATGATCCAGCATGATTAAATATTTCGAAAATTGGAACCTCCATGATAATTTCTTTGGAAACAATAATTTTATACGTGTAGACCAAATCATTATAGAGCCTGCGATACTCCAAGGAACTTAGCGCATTTTCCGATGTATCTGGAAGAAAAATTAACAAAAACCTAGAAAACTCTTGAAAAAACCGAAAAAAAAGTGAAAACGAGCGAAAAAATTGTAAAAGTTTGAATTCGCGCGCTTTCACTCACCGGGCGGCCTAGAAAAAAGCTCGTCCCTAAGGGCTTTCAGCGTATTTTTCGATGCGTTTTTCTCGCCGAAGGAATTTTTTTTGAATTTTTTCTTTATTTTTATGTCAATCTACATGCATTTCTGCACATTTTGATGCAATAAAAAATTTCACCGTACACCACCTTTAAAGGAACATAGTGCACTCTAGAAGGGTTTCAACACGATGTTCATAACAGCGAAACAAATTCCAAAAGATATTTTTGTTTCTTGCTTTTATTTGTCCTTTTTTTTCTGAGTTAAAGTTTGTCCTTTTCTGAGTTAATATTTTTAAATTGGTTTTCTTTGTCAAACATCGCGAAAAAATAGTTGATAATCAGCTGATTTTCGTTGCTTTTGCTACAGCGAAAAAAGTTGTATGGTGTTCTTCATGACCATAGAAGTTTTTTAGGCCTATTCATAGAATTTTGAGAAATGCGGAAAAACGAATTTGTCCGCATTCTTCGACATTGTATGAAAAAAGTAAAAATAACACATTTTTTGTCATGAATAACCGCATTATTTTCTCACAGATTCGTTCGAACCAAATTACTTTTCGCTTTCGTTATCTTTAAAATGTTTTTTTTTTCATCCGAATGATATCTTTTACAGAGTATGACTGATACTCCTCCCATCAAGAAGCATACTCCTCGCGTTCGTAGATCATCTGATGTTAGCTTGAGCGCTACATGTGCATCTACTCCAAATAATCAGCAATCGGTTAAAAGAAGGGTATCAGCAGCGAGCAGCGTGAGTGAGAAGAAGAAGCCAAAAAGAAACAGCTATGAGCCCAAAAAGGATCAATACATACACCCATATGACCACATTTTCCACTGGTCCGATCGTAAACTGAACGATAATTCTTACCTCGGAGTTAAGAGCTTGAGATATTCCGGAGCAGATATCAAATTAGAAGAAGACAGAATTGAACTGGCTGCTAAAACAGTATTAAGGGAGAAGAATGAGTTTGCTGAGAAAGAATTTGCAACATTGTTTCCTGATGATAACTCGGATGACAGCGATGATGCCTACCAATTGAGCAAGGATGAAGATGTTGCAGACGATGAAAATTACTCTGACTCAGAGAAGTATTTTGAGAAGGCGAAATACGTTCCATTGACTTTAACTACAACGGGCGGAACAAGAATTACTGTACCACCAGTTAGAAAGCCATACGAAATGACGAAAATGCGGTTCGTGGAACCATTGACTGAAAACGTTTACCGTGACGATCAGCTGCAGTTGACACACTTTCCACAGTTTGATGAGTTTCCTGTTGATGATCTAGACTACGATGCCGTCACAGCATTCCTTCACAGGGTTCGCTTTTCACGATTTGATTAAATGCAATTTAAACTTTTCAGACTTTTCCAAATGGTGTCCATGGAAATTGGAGGAATAAATTCGAGACGAGTGACGAGATGTTTTATAAAACATTGATGGCGGTGCTACCCGGAACGAAGAACCTCGATCTACTTTACCACGCATTCTTCAATACTTTTCCCAGCTATGGCGCGCTCGATGAAGTTCCTAAAATGTTTCATCGACTGCATAAGAAGTACTCGAACGGGAAGGTTGATTTGGAAATATTGGAACTATTGGATTCGTTGAAAGATCCAATGAAGACTAAATCACTCCCCTACTTCAAGAAGTTTCCTTTTGACGTCAAGTATCCCGACACTCGAGAAAACTTCATTGTCCGATTCATCAAAATTGCGGAGGAAGCGTGCTCTGATAACTGTTATTTACATGATGATGAGCTAGCAACACGAATGGAAGGATTCTTTGATGATCCCGATTCGAAGCAGCTAACACTATTCATTCTCAAATCAACCAAACGGCAGTGTTCTGAGTTTCTCAACACTCTTCTGATGCGAGACGATAAAGACGTCGTGAAGAACTTTTGTCAAACAGCAAAGCTTTTTCCCAATGGCTCATGTGCTTCTTGGTTCAAAAAGTTGCTTGATTCTGCCAGCTACTGTGATGCAATGGCATTCCAACAAAAGTGAGTTTTTTCAGAAAGGTTCCTTGTAATTTGTAGTTTTAGAAGTTACGCCAGAAGAATGGAAAACTTTCGGCATGCTCAAAAGGAAGACAAAAAGAGAAGAAGAGAACAGAATAAGGGCGAGGAGGACAAGTACGAAGATTACACAACTCATTGTGATCATCTCGGTCCTTGTGGCCCAGGAGTTCGAAATTGTCCATGCAAACGCTTCTGCACAGTCTTCTGCAACTGCGACTTCAATTGTAACCGAAAGTTCCCAGGTTGCGAGTGTCCGCCGGGAAAATGTCAGACCCGACAATGTCCATGCTTTGAAATGGACTTTGAGTGTTCAGAATTAACATGTAGACAGTGTCTTGAAGATTATACCCCGGAACTCTCGTCGTGTGACAATTACGAAATGACACAAGGAGACTTGAAGAAAATCCGTGTTGGAAAGTCGAGCATT